TCATCAGCGGCATTGTAGATAGGCTAGATAAGATCTGCCATTTGTAGTCTGGGCGCCGAGCACCAGATAGGATATCGAGATTGGTTCTTCGTTGATGATGATGAGACTATTCCAGCATTGTCAATTATGAGCTTTTGCTGTGCTCTTATTTGGTGGAACTCGTGATGCAATTCTGCTATTGGTTCGAGGTAACGACTATCTGTCTCATGTGTATGATGCTTTTTGTTTTCTTAAGTTCGCTATCGCTCATTTTCCTTGCACTCCCCTTTGGTGCCTTGACAAGATAGTTAGTGCTCAGGGAACAAGTACTTGGGATTGTACGCTAAGCTTGAGCACGTCCACACACAGTATCTGGCCACACGTTTGCTGATCCCCATATCAGCATCGAGCAGATCGCTACATGTGGTTGTGTTTGTGTACACAGGTTGTTTGTGCATACACTTGTCATTGCTACCTTCTATACAGGAGGAATGCCCTCCAGCCCATGACCTGCCACTCTCTCCCTCCCTGTGGAAATGTTCAATGTGGCATGTCAATGATCGATATCTAGCTGGTAGGGAAGAGCATTCCAATTTTTTCTCATGAATAGTACGCTTTGGTGCACTCCCCTTTGGTGCCTTAACAAGATAGTGTTGCATACTAGTGAATACTTCACCAAGTACAGGCAGAACCAAAGATCAACCAATATAGGATGAGCATGTATGCAGCGGAAGTCTCAGAAATGGACTGACTCACATAGACAGAACTCACCCAACATCACTCAACACACAAACAATCGTGGGATGGTGGGGTCTGAAGCCATGCATAGACGATGTTTCAGGCCCCGTACAATCATACACAGATGAATGGTGGAAGGAGAGACGATGGAGGTGGGAGATGTGGACAGCGCCAGATGTCACCGAGATAGAATCCAGAAGGTCACCGATATGGTAGCCAAAATGTCACCGAACAAAACCAGAATGTCGTGGACATGAGTCACCAATGTCGGAGGCACAGAATCCCAATGTAACCAATGTCCGATCTGTGATGCCACTGGGTATCAATCCCAATGTCTCCAATGTCTCGAAACCAGGTAAGTGTCTCAGCCTCCTACTACCGAAGTCCAAACACTGATCTCTCTCCAACTCATATCTTACTTCCCAATCTGAAGAAGAAGGATAAGTCTGAAGAAGAAGAAGAAGAAGAATGGTCTGAAGGAGAAGAAGAAGAAGAAGAAGAAGAAGAAGAAGAAGAAGAAGAAGAAGAAGAAGAGGAAGTCTGAAGGAGGAGAAGAAGAAGAAGTCTGAAGGAGGAGAAGAAGAAGAAGAAGTCTGAAGGAGAGGGGAGACAGAGAGTTGGGAAGATGGCGAGTAGCCTCAGGCCTAACCTGCAGTTGGCAAGCTGGCGCCTTCGCTGTGGTGGGAGTCCTACTGCAAGTCGCTGGAGCTATGGCGCCCCGCTGTCTATCAGGTAAGTCCTCCTTGCTCCTCCTCGCTCCTCCTAGGCAGCAGTGCGCTAAACCTAGCGCTGCAGTCCTTAGCGCTGTGCTGAACCCAAAATAGCGCAGCGCTAACGCCGGGTGCTGCTGCTGTTTCCCAACCTGTGGGAATGGCCGCTGGACCAGCCTAAGTACCGTTCGGCAGCCAGTCGGCCTCGATGCTGGCCTCCTGCGCCGTGGGCTGAACCGTCGAAGTGACCGTTCAGCTCAGGCCGGTGGGCGGCAGCCTCAAGAGCGCCGCCAGGCCCAAACGGTCATGTCGTTTGGGCCAACCCTGGTCTGCTAGGCGCTGAGGCGCCAACCGGTGGCCTAACAGGGCCTACCGGGGGAAAAAGGCCTGGCTTTTGGCGAGGTCGGCCTGGGTACCCCCTGAACCGGTATGTCGGGCCTGTGAAGGCCCGTGTGAAGTCGCAGAATGTAACAATAGTTAGTGCTCAGGGAACAAGTACTTGGGATTGTACGCTAAGCTTGAGCACGTCCACACACAGTATCTGGCCACATGTTTGCTGATCCCCAGATCAGCATCTGGCAGATCGCTACATGTGGTTGTGCTTGCGTACACAGGTTGTTTGTGCATACACTTGTCATTGCTACCTTCTACACAGGAGGAATGCCCTCCAGCCCATGACCTGCGACTCCCTGTGGAAATGTTCAATGTGGCATGTCAATGATCGGTATCTTGCTGGTAGGGAAGAGCATTCCAATTTTTTCTCATGAATGGTAGTTTTTTTCCGGGAACATGAGTTCATTTCTGCATCGTATCTTTGTTTTCATGAGGTCCTTTGTCATAACTGTGAGTTTCCCGCATACATGCTGCTCTGCCGAGAAGACTGTATACGTTCCAATAGATGGGCACGATCCGACGAGCTGGACTTGAGCAGCATCAGCGTCTTCCACATAATTAGCATTTCTGGGGTCGACCATTCCGGATTAGCGTCACCGCGCGCAATTCCTCTCTGCATCATGACTGACCAACCACGTCAGCACTAGGGCGGGGAGCTATACATAGCTACACTTGTCTAACAGCGGTTGATTGAGCCCCTTCGGAACATTGAACGTCATTGGGTAAATCTTCCCTTTGATGCCATTATGATGCCGTGACATGACAGTACTTATGAAGTGGGACTGTTTTATGAGCACCCCCACACACAGTATCTGGCCATGTGCTTGCTGATGGGGCGGCACCTTTCCCTCATGCTGCTTGTACAAACCCAATGTCTATGGCACCACCTTGCCAGCTGGTCACAGGAGATTTTGCCTGTGGTAAAGGACTTGGTAAATTGAGCTTTTGGAGGCTTTGCGCACAGGGGAATCCGCCTTGTACAAAAGAGGCCTGTGATAAACCTGTAAATGCAGGTGGAATGAAATTGTGGATCGTTGTACCATTTTGAAGTGAAACCGGATGAAGTAAAAGTGAGTCCTTGCAGACCGTGGGTTTGATATGTGGCAAAATGTCGGGATGACTTGTGACTTTGGGTAAGGAAAGAGGTACGAACCAATCGCCTGAGTGTTCATGGCTTTGCCCCACAGTGGGGTGAGCACTCATAGAAAAGCGGGCTTATAGCAGTGGGGAGCCTTAGTTCTTATTCGAGTTACGTATACGAATAAAGAAACATATGCAAGGAACATGAATATGGACGAAGCACAGAAATCCAGAATGCAAAATCACACTGAAGTCCAAGTAGTCAAAGCCAGAGCAGATAGCACAATGGAACCGAGTAACCATCCATTTGAGAATGATACAGAAGAATCGTGAGTCAATGTCCAAGCCCAACAGCGCAACACCAACAGCATAACCCAATGTAGCTCTCTCTTGTGAATGGCACCAGGCGCCCTATCTACTCTACAGACTAAGCCTACAACTACAGCAGTGAAAGCAACCAGACAACTTGACGACCAGCGAGTGATGATGTCAACACCAATGCCGACCTCCACCTCCACCAGGTACGTGTCCTCTTCACCCACACTCTCCCTTGTTACCCACACAGCGCCCTTCACCTCCGAAGAACCACCTTCGCCCTCACCTCCCCTGCGCCCGCCAGCAGCCCGGCTGTGGCCGCCAGCGCCCTGCGCCCAGGCAGCGCACCACCGTATTAGCGCTGCCTGTCTCCCTCATGCCCAACGCAGCTTAACACTGCGCAGCCCCTCCGCATTAGCGCAGCGTGCCGGCAATGCCTGCATTGGCCAAGGATGCCTGCCCACTTGCCCTGCTTGCCTATATGCCAGTGCTGCGTGTGGGCGGCCTCCCTTCAGCCTGCCACTGGGCCCCAGTGGCTGAACCCAGCCCGATACAGTTGAGGCCCGGGGCAATGCAGTTGCGCCTCTTTCATCAAGGCCTGGGGCCAGATTCAGATAGTGGGCCGATTTCCCTTTGGAATTTTCGGCCTGTATACCCAGCATGCATTGCCGGCCTCACATTCAAGTGCCCAGGGCCTATCTAACTCAGAGGCCCTGGGATCTCCACATTTGCAGAGATTCGAGACTCGGTGCACTCCAACCAACTGGCGTGCTGCAACTGTATGGACCCCACTTCGGGAAATGTTTGCACAGAGGGCTCTTGTTGATTTGCTGGCCCGGCTTCACTTAGGGCAGGCACTAGGCTTGCTGGGGCCTTAGCCCAGAACATGTACATCATGGCAAGGCCCCTTCTTGAGGGCTCAATCCTCACACATAGCTATTCCTTGGGAAATCAGACGATTGCATATAGGGAAAAGGAGTGTAAGCAATGCTCTGCAAGGGGCACATGCTCAAAACACATCAGCGACTTGCTGTCTGAGAGGTGCAAAATGGTGTCACTGTAAGATACCTCGAAGGGGCTAGATATAAGTTGAAAAATTATGCACTGCCCTGGAAGCCTTCAACAGATGGATGGGCTTTGCAAGATGGCTGAGAGAGCATTTTGATAGCAACCGAACAAGGCCTTAGGAGGGAAAGGGGAAAAAACAAAGGCCATGGGCTCTGGCACAGGCCATCAATAAAAATAGGGCTCTTAATACTCCAAACCAGGGTTCGGGCCGGGCAGCGTGAGTTCTTCAGCCTTAGGTGCACCAAGTCAAAGGTCAGGCGAAAGACACAGGGTGTAGGATCAGACGAAGTGGCAGTTTAAGAGAAGGTTTGCCAGTTGTCAAATTTCAGAGCCCTTAGTCGATGTACATGTCTGAGAGAGACAAACGTCTAGAGATTTATGATTGCCGATGAAAGATTCCACACTTCAAAGGGGGGGAAAGTGAAAGAATACTTATTCGGAGTTCATCCATCAATTAAATTTTTAATTCACTAAATGAATTGTTCCTTTGGAAAGGGAGGGGAGGGGGTTGACTATCTGTGGGGTCAAAGTCAATCTATGTATTTCGTGCTCTGGTACACTTGTTTTGTTCCTCCACAAGAGCGCTCCAATGAAGACGTGTCAAAGTTCAAACAAACACATAAAAGAGAAGTGGTCAAACTAATGTTCACCTTGGCGGCTTGACAGGAAATTGCAAACATTGGAGAAACCGCACAGAAGCCGAAGCAAACCACTAACCTTCCAGACCCATTTCGGAACGTGTCCTTCCAGGTACTGCGCATGCTCCTTTTGCGGTACATTCACCTGTCTTGGAGGGAAAAAGCCACGAACAACAAGAAAAACCGTGTTGTTACCAACTCCTGGCGAATGAGACATGTTTGCTCACGTGTGGAGAGATGGTTACCATTCGGTAAACCACAACCCATGGGTAGAAGAGCAGAGATCCATGCATATGTTGCATACTTTAACACATTTTGTCTGTCGGTCTTACCTTAACCCTCTTCTGTATCTAATTAACTCCCATAACCATGGTCGAGAGCCTCAATCCGTGATGACAAAGAGAATTACAAGACAGGAGATATGAGTTTGAGGTTTGAACTTTGAACACATGGTGTACATCTTCTCGTGGAGAGCAGACTAGCAAAGCTCGTTGTTAATGACTTACAATTTACAACATATGTTGCATACTTGAACAGAATCTGTTCTGTTGGTCTTATTCTCTTGTGTATCTATTATGTTCCCATCACCATGGTCCAGAGACTGATCTGCAATGACAAATTATTACGACACACGAGATAAGACTTCCGAAAGATGTGGCAAAGCAACCATGTCCTTACATCATCTCCTTGAGAGCAGTCTGCAAGCTGCGAGCAGCGACGCGCACTGCAGCATATTGTAGCAACACGTAATTACTATGTAGCAGTCCAAGCAACCTGGAGGATCCATAGCTGGCAAATGAATGGGCAAATACAGGGTTGAGGACTGCATAGTGTCCAACTCTCAGAAACGTGATAGAGCTCCATTCCAGTTGCGCAGAGGCCCTAGAGTCCTATTGCCAAGGCTGTCCAATGGACGAGGTTGGTTAGGGTAGCTAGATGGCACCCAAGCTGACAAGGACAGAATGGGTCATAGGCCAATAGGAGATGGGGACTATGGGACCTCTTTTGCATTCACTGCTACTTTTTCATTATCTGTAGCTTTGAAACAACCTATGACATCATCTTCGATCATTCTGCTCTCTCCTCTTTTTTTTTCTGCTTTGATCAGAACACTTATTTTGTTCTGCTTTGATGTGCTTTCTCAATTTCTGCTATTCAATTTCTTTTTCTGCTATTCAATTTCTTTTCCTCCGATTTGGCCTTGCTCCTCTGCATCCTCTGTCACCACCTGCCTCTTCCTCCACTTACTCCCTCAGTCTTCTTCTTCTGCTTCTCCCTCCTCCTCTTCCTCCTCCTCCCTATCCCTCTTCACCCTTGCCTGATGGGTCCGTTCACTAGGCCTTGGCTTCCTTAGCCGCCCGGCCGGGCCAGCATGATGGTGCACCCGTGCAGCCTGCGAGGTATTTGAAAAAAAAAAAAAAAAAAAGGCGGCGATGGGGGCTACTGCACATGCAGAGAAGTGCCCAAATCTGGCTTTTCCACACATGCAGAGAAGTGGTGATGGCAGGAGGGAGGAAGAAGATGGCGGAAGAGAGGACCAAACTGGCGGGAGGGAGGCAGAGGATGGTGCGCGGGGCGTGGGAGATGGCCGGAGGGGAAGAGGGAGGTACCGGGTAGTAGGTGGGAAACGGCAGGATGGAGGTTGTAAATGGCGGGGAGGGAACTGGAAGGTGGCAGGAGGTAGGTGGGAGAAGGCAGGATGGAGGTTCCATATGGGGGAAGGGAGGTAGGAGGAAGACGATGGAAAAGAGGTGGAAGATGACAGAACAGCAGGAACGAAGTGGCAGGGGGAGGTGGAGGATGGCGGAAGAGCAGGAACGAAAGTGGGGTGAGAGAGGTGGAGGATGGTGGGAGCAACGAGGAAGATGGCGGGAGTGGAAGTAGGAGGTTGTGGAAGGGACGAAGGAGATGGCGGGATGGGAAGTAGGGGGAAGCGGGAGGGATAGTAGGAGGGAGTGGGAGGGACGAAGGAGGTGGCGGGAGGGGAAGAAGAAGGTAGACGATGAGGGAGGGGAAGAAGAAGGTAGATGATGAGGGAGGAGAAAAAGAAAAAGACGAGGCAGAGAAAAAGAAAGCATTTTTTTTCTGAACACCTCGCTGGGGCCGCACGGGGCCCGTACAGGGGACCCGCACGGCCGTGTGGCCGTGCAAGGATCCGTAGGTGCCGGGGGCACCCATGCCCACGAAAATGAAGCCTAGCCCTTACCCCGATTCTTCGTTTTTGCCTGCCGGTTCCACTCATTAGGTTTTCGTTTCCTTGCTCTACCACCACTTTGCCCTTCATATTTTGTTTCTCCTCCCCGTTTGATTCCTCACCCTTTGTTCTGTCTCCTCCTCCTGCTCATTCCCGAGGAGCACAACACGAGGATCACAATTTGCATGTGCTGTGCTGAAAGATAAAAAGAAAATAATGGGTTCGGAACAGACATAGAAAGCAAAGTCAGCGTATATTTGTTGAATAATTACCTCAAGCAGAACAGGCCCAAACACCTCTCCTCTGAACCTTCCTCTATTCTCCTGAACCCACTGGTATGTCTGCATGATGTGTCGATCCAACCTCTGGGCTAAAAGTCTCAACCTCTGATCCTTCGCGTTCATGATAGCTTCTAGTCTGAAAGACACACCAGGTTATATTCCAGAGAGGTCACCACCAAATGGGCAAGACAGCAGGTAGTAAAGCTAGCCTTTAGAGACGTCAATGTTTCTGCTTTCCAACCAAACACACACCTTACTTGGCATCAGGATTGCATACCCGCCGATGGCCGACCCCAACTGCCGACAGTCGGGGGTGACCGGTTGGCGGTCTGCCAACCAGTCAGTAACCAGCCATCCACTGATTTTTTTTTTCATCTGACTATGGGGCTGTACTGTTTGTTGCATACTGTAGAGGTGCAGACCAGAACAAGAACCGACTTCTCTATCAAAGTACAAGATAGCGCAGCGGAAAACTTAGATACCAATGATTCGAACAATCAATATTGCAATGCAGCCCACAACATACATCATCATCATCATTCCATGGTGTGAAGGGGGTCTGGCGCTCACACAGGAAGAATGCGCCAGCCCCAATCATACACAGACGAAGAAGAGGAGGGGTTAGACGAAGAAGAGGGGAAGATGGGAATGTCGTCAACACCAAGTCTTCGGCACAGGCCCAAATAGTCCCTCGTCAAAATGTCTGAATCCCAATGTCGAGTCTGGATCCACTGTCGTCAAGTCTCAATTCACAACTCTCTCTTTCTCTGTAGTAGTCTGCTGATACTGAGAAGTCAGGTGGTGAGAGGGTGAAGAAGAGATGGTGGACTTAGAAGAGGAAGAAGAAGAACTCTCTCTCTCTCTCGGTGTCCAGTACTAACCTGTGAAGTTGGCGCCTTGATGCAGGTACCTCGAAGATGGAGCTGGAGCTATGGCGCCACAGGTAAGTACCACTGGCCTCCGCCAGCCATCTCTCTCCAACGCTACTACTACCTGCTACTAGCGCCCTGCGCTGAAGACTACTCCTGCAGCTATGAGCGCCCAGCGCTGAAGACTACTGCTAGCGCTAACTACTACTGCACCGCTCCTGAGTGCATCGGAACTTCCTATGTACTACTCGGGTGCCTCCTGACTGCAGGGCGAGGCAGTCCAGGAGGCTGCTCTTGCCAACAATGCCGAAGGGAGTCAGGGGCTGCCGCTGCAGCTCCTGCTTGAGGCTGTCGTGGGGAACAGGTCAGAAATAGCCTGTTGCCGAAACCCTGTTTTTGTGCCTGAGTCTTAGGGTAGTTCGATCTTATGAGGGCCCGAAAGTGGCCCTCCGTTTCAGGCTGAAAAGCCGCAGGGCTGAAAAGCCCTGTTTTAGGCTGAAACGACATAGGGCCTGCAGGCCCTCGTTTTTCAGTCTTTCAGGCTGAAACGACAGGGGCCTGTAAGCCCTTATTTCTAGGCTTTTAGGCTGGAAATGCGGGACGGGCCCTGCAGGCCCGTGTGGCTACGCAGTATGCCACCCCCCCCCTTCCTTGAAAGACCGAGCTTACCTGCGAGGGCGAAGCTGTCTGTCTGAGGGAGGGACCACAGTCCGGGTGGGAGGGGCAGGTCGTGAAGGTCCCTGAGCTAACCTTTGTCGCTTGTAGTGAGCGTAGATCAGCGGTGCGGATGCTTTCAAATCTGTTCCTGAGATCCACCGAGTGTCGTCGGGACCACATGCTCTGAATGTAACTTTGTACTGTCGAGGCTTGTTGCCGTACTTGCGATCCGTGATGACGCGGTCAACCTCCTGATGACCATCCATAGATGGAGGGTCCTGCGATCGTCAGCCTGGGAAGTCGTCGCTCTTAGCTGGTGTATATGTTGCCAGCTTCGAGGCGTGAAAGACTGGATGGACCGTCGGATGCGCGGGGATGTTGATCACAAATGAAGGGCCATCGGGCTCATCGCCCACGGCTGATGTTACGGGCCACGGTCCAAACCACTTGGGAAGCAGTTTGTGTGACACATCCTGTTCCAGTGCAAACTCTTCCCCGGAGACCCAAACCAGATCACCGGCGTGGATGAGACATGGCACGCGACGCCTGTTGGCTTGCTGCACCGTGGTGCAACTCGAATAGAGTCACGCCGATCGCCGGGTGCACTGAAGTGTTGTAGGCGAACTCGATGTCGGGGAGGAGGTCAACCCAATCTTTCTGGTCCGCATCATTTAAGCGGTTGATGTGCCCGCTCCGTCTGCCCGTTCGTCTGTGGATGCCGAGCCGAACTTGGTTTCATCTTCGTGCCGGACTCCTGCATGAGAGCAGTCCAAAATGCCGACATGAAGCGAGTGTCGCGGTTGTTGACTATGTCTTCTGGGACACCGTGGCCACAAATCCAACCAGTGTGCAAGAGGCGTGCCAGCTCGGGAGCCGTGGAGTAGTACTTGCAAAGGAGAAAACGCGCATACTTACTCAAACGGTCCACAACCATGAGGATGCCGTCGTGCCCGAGGCGATCGAGAGGAAATGGTCCGGTGACATCCATGGCAATGGAGAGGCCGGGTTCCCGTGGGATAGGCATCAGGCGCAACTCGCCGTAGGGGTTGCGATTGCGGGGCTTGCTTTGTCGGCAAACTTCGCAAGAGTCGCAATACCGAGTGACATCGGTAATGAGGTCGGGCCATCGGAATCGTTGTCGAAGTCATGCAATGGTGTGGTTGACTCCGAAATGGCCGGCAAGCGCGAGTCATGATACTCACCGAGAAGGCGAGTCCGAAGACGACGGTCTCGTGGGACATACAATAAGTCCTTGCCTCTCGAGTGGAGGATCAAGTACCCGTCGGCAATGCGATAGTGGCTGGCCGACGGGTGATCCGAAGATAGCTACGCATACAACGTGGCGAAGTCCGGATCGGACTCATATCCCTGGATGAAGTGTCGTTGAAGTTCCTCGTCGAATGCGAAGACATGATGTGTCATAGCGCAGAGATCAGGTCTTTGCGAGAGTGCATCTGCTGCGCGATTGGAGGGGTCGGAAAGATGTTTCGGTGTGAAGTCAAATTGGTCGATGGAGTACATCCATCGTGCAATCATACTGCTGACCGTATCCTGCGTCTTGTAGTAAGTCAATGGGTTGTTCGTAACCCATGTGAACCTACGACGCCCAAGGAGGAAGTGCCGCCATCGCTTGAGAGCCATCACGAACGCGAGCAGCTCCTTCTCCCTTGCATCATCAAGCGTGTTGATGGGAGGCACTTTGTGGCTGAAATACTCCACAGGGTGCCAATCGTCGCCGTTGTGTTCTTCCAAGACTGCCTCAATGCCATAGCCGGAAGCGTTAGTTGTCACTCTCGTAGGCAGAGTGGGGTCATAGATGCTAAGGACGGGTGCCATGAGCATTGCCGTCTTAAGTGCTTGGAATGACCGGCGTGCGTCGTCATCGAATACGAATTGCACCTGTGGCGATTGTAATCTGGTCATAGGTGCGGCAATCCTTGAGTATCCAGTGATGAATCGCTGATAGTAGCCCGCCAACCCCATGAATGAAAGAACGTCCGTGGTGTTGGTGGGCTCGGGCCATACGCGGGGGGCCTCGATCTTGTCCGCAAGCGGACGGATGCCTTGCGGCGTTACATAATGTCCCAAGTACTCCAGCTCCTGCCGCGCGAATTCGCATTTGTCGCGGTTGGCTTTGTACTTGGCTTGTCGTAGCCGCTCCAAAACAGTGCGCAGGTGTTCCACATGCTCGTCCAAACTTCGGCTGTACACCAGGATGTCATCAAGGATAAGTACGAATCGATCCAGCATGTGTTGGAACTCCGTTGTCATAGCCACTTGGAAAGTGGTCGGGGCATTCGTAAGGCCAAATGGCATAACCAGCCATTCGAAATGCCCATATCGCATCTTAAACGCGGTCTTGTAGCGGTCCTCCTTCCGAATCTCGAGTTGGTGATATCTCGACTTGAGGTCCAGCCGCCCAGTCGTTCGAGAAGGTCGCCGATGTGTGGGAGAGGGCCGGCGTTTCTCATCGTCTGCGCGTTGAGCTTGCGATAATCGATGCACAACCACAAATCCTTGTTCTTCTTCCGGACGAAGAGAACACGAACACCATATGGCGATGAGCTAGGCCGAATCCAGCCTTTCTCCAGAAGGTCGTCGAGTTGTGCCCAAAGCACACTTAATTCTTCCTCGCTCATTCGATAGATGCAACCGCGCAGAGGTACGGCCTCGTCCTTGAGGATGATCTCGTGGAGGATGGGCCGATCCGATACTACTCCGTGCGGGCCTTCGAACACGTCGCCGTAGGCATCAAGAAGCTCGGTGATGCGTGGGTCCGAAGATGAGTCCGTCGATGAAGCGTCATGGGGCGGAAGGCCGTGGAGAAAACACACCCCCATCTCCTCGATGTCGTCTCTGATGATGGAGGCTCGCATGCTTTCGGCGGACACCACGTGAAAGCTGATTGAAGGGTGAGGAGGAGCTACCGTGCATGGGACTAGTACTCCGTTCCGATCACGAACGTGAACGGTGCGGCGGTAGAAGTTCATCGAGTGATCCTCGCTTCGCAGCCATGACATGCCCAAGATCATGTCGAATTTGGTGTCCAAAATATCAAAGGACACCGCCTCGCTCGCGTGCGGGGCAAAGTATACGGGGACGTCATCAATGCACCGGTCTATTGACTTGTGCGTGTGACCGTCCGCCAATGTGACTTGCGTCGGCTGGGACTTCCTTCAGACACGTGGGCCAAGGCCGGCGCGTACCATGAAGACCTGGCTCATGTCGTTGCGAGATGCTTCGCACTCGATCAAAGCGCTGCAGGTCGCCTCTCCGATCTGAATGCGTACATATAACAATGGTGCGTCGATGTCGTCGTACCGTTGCATCTTGAACTCGCGGTCGATCTTCACAATGTAGGCGTGAAGGTCGACAACCTCTACTCCGACGTCCATCAACCGAGTCGGTACTGCAGTGTGCAAGTAATCCCACAATTGTGCCATGAGCACATTGCAATGCGGTTTCAGCAATCAACCGGAACAGGGAAGAGGCATCCATTGGAAGTCCGCAAATGTCAACGGGTCGAGCTCTTCAAATCTTGACCATGACGTTGAATCCCCGGCGGTAGATGGCGGCGAAGCTGCCGAATCGGTTGCCGATGGTGATGAAACCATGCATGCGGTAGATTGTTGCACGTGGAGCGGTTGGTCCAGCGGTGGGACCAAGTGGACAGCATAGTCCTCGTAAGCATACCGAGAACTTACGACATTCGCATCCTCCACTTAAGCAAGCCTCAAGCCACCTCTACTCCTCAATGTACTTGGTCGGTCGGTACGGCTTGGCCTCCTTGCTCTTTCACAGCGCAGCCACTGCACGTTCCTTCGGGCTTGGTAGTAGAAGACGACTATGCAAGTCTTTGACTTGCCCAGGTACGGGCGGCAATCAAGAAGTTTCACAACGGTCTGTGGCTGATGGACTGTGTACGGACAATGAAGCCAAACATGTGCGACGTGGAAACGAGCACCGTCGAAGCAAACAGGTAAGCCACCATGTCCTCCCCGCCTTTTCCTCGCTTCTCAGTCTGTCAATCCTTGTTGTGTTCTAGTGAGTTTCCACGGAATTAACCAGACAAATCACTCCACCAACTGAGGACAGCCATGCAGCACCACCCAGAGCTATTAATCTGCTAGTCTTCTCTCTCTCCCTTTTTCTCTCTGTTCATCGGCCAACAGGTAAGTCTCCAACCTCATCCAATTTCTCTGGATCCTGCCCCCGACTGATTCTCCTTCGTTCGTAGTTTTCCCTCGTCTTCCGCATAGGCTAACGTTGTATTACTAAACCAAATACCGCTAACGAGCTTACCTGAGCAAGCTCGGGAATCACCTCTTCTCTTTATCTCCATTCGCCAGCAACAGGCGGTCTTCCCTCCTTTTCCTTAGTATCGTTGTGCTTGTCTTGCAAGAAGCATCTAGCCAGCTTTTCGGACCAAATGCAGGCCTCATCACAATGTAACAATGATCCCGTAAGGTGGCTAACCTGCTACAAATTTTGTGCTTCTCTTGCAAGAAGCATCTAGCCAGCTCTTCGGACCAGATGCAGGCCTCATCACAACGTAACAAATTTAAGGCACACGACTACGACCTCGTTGATAAACGACTCAACGTAATCGGGAGGGCGAACAACGTGGTTAACAGTAATGGGAACAAGAATGAACGAGGAGATCGTAGCCAACACGACTACGAAGGAGCATCCAAGGCGATGTACGCAATCATTTTCGGTACAGACTCGACTTGGATAGGAGGATTGATGACGAACGACGAAAAGGAGGCGATTACAAACGGGAACATGTACCAAGAAGGAAGAATGAATCTTCCCCTAGAAGATGGAAATGTACATATCTGGTTCCACAATCTTTCCACTCGTGCCTGTCCACATACCAGGCAGCCCACAACGCTTGTACCACCGAAAGCGTTCACTCAGGCCAGATTCTATCGGTGCCATCATGCTCGCAATAGTTCAAAACCTCCTCTCAACACTTTACCCCATCCGATTCTATAAAGAATCGGGGAAGACAGTAGTCCCTCCTCCTACCATGTTCGCTTTCCTCAACATCTCTTCGTTGCTCTTTCCCTTACTAACTTTTATGCTACTGGCTTTCTACTAAAACTAACCTCGCTATTCGATTCGCCCTGTCCTAAAACCTTGGATTTGGCTCTTGGTTTGCCGAAATTCACCAAGGATTGGGGGTGCTATGGCCTTTCTCTTCCGCCATCTCCACGCAATATCTTCCTCTATTAACTCCCATATCACTAACTTGCTTCTAAAACTACTGTCATCATTTGATTCACCCTATCTAAAAACCCGAAAGCCATCTTCTCCTTACCTAAGACCGTAAAGTATCATGAGAGCTACCTTCTCCTCGCTGCGCCCCTGCTCGTTCCTTCCACCATCTCCTTTACTGGTGCAGAAACCCCGCCAGATTCACTTCGCCCTTTTTCCTCTCTCACAGTCTTACACCGTCTCTAGTTCTCGCTCGTCCATCACGTTTACTTTCCCTTGCGTTGTGCTGCTCGCTAACCCAGACACCACAAAGGGTGTTAATTGATACAGACAACAGGACTATGTTATCGGATGCCGAACTCCGCTAAAGAGTGAGTAACAACTCACATGCGGAATCTCTCAGCCCAACAAGCGGCTGGCAATGGAACGCGTGACTTATGCTCGCCCATAGTGGCGATTACGCGACTCATCGGAGTAGGAGGGCATTGGCCTACTGCGATGCGTGCAGCTGGAAGGTAAGCAGGTCTTGGTACAGATTTTAATGGTAGTGGTAAATGTTCAGGTAAGAACAACAAAAAATGAAGTGGACACTGGCTCCATGCGCCTATGGCCTCCGCCATTGTACCTTGGGCCGTTCGGCCCAAGCACAATTTGCCCTCTCTGGAGTCCCAACGAGCATGCTCACGCTGAAAGTGCCGCATTGAGGGTGCGGCCTGCTGCAGACTTGCAGCATGAGCCCCGGTGAGGCACGTGGCTGGTCGCGGTGCCTTGCACGCGGCCCCTGCTGCGGTACCCTGTGCTGCTCCGCCTAGGCTCAGGTCGCCTCTCTGCAGGCTCCAACGGGCATGCTCATACCCAAACCGCCCATGGCAAACGGTGGGTGGCGGACGATACGCCCGCTAACGGCCCCCGTCACCCTCAGCCGCAGCCCACAGGCCCACTCGGAATGTTCTCCAATCCCCTTCCACTTTTAGACTATCGGCGCTCTCCAAATGGGAAGCGAGGGAAACCACGACCATGGACCCCACCACTCTCCATTCATACATTGACCTCTTCGGCTCACCTTTCAAATCAGGCAGACCCGAGGAATTTAACCGGCATCTCGAACACACACAAACTCATAGGTCAACCAACGGAGGCGCATCACGCGCGCCTTAAGTCTGCGCACCCGCACATTCTCTAATCTAGTCAACCTTTGTCGTCAACGTAAATAGCAGACACAGTCGCGCTCGCGCGGTGTACTCAGACTTTAAGCCACACTTATTCTTTGCACTCTCCATTCATACATTGACCTCTTCGGTCCGCCTTTCAAGTCAGGCGAGAACCCTAGGAATTTAACCGGCATCCCGAACACGCACGAACTCATAGGTCAACCAAGGGAGGCGCCCGCTCAAGATCCTCGACCGCCACGACGGCCTACGAATCCAGCGTCGCACCCGAGTCAAGGAATGCAGGAGCAAATAAAACGACAAATAAATAAAAATATTTAGAAACTCTTAACCGTCAAAAGACGATAGGCGGGGAAAAGGAACTGCTACTATCGTTCTGACGCCACCGACGACAAAACCAAGGGGGATAGCCCCACCGGACCCTCAAACCCTTGCCCCTTTGCCCTACTTTGATATTCCCACGTCGTCGCCGCTCAATCTCGATCCCTGAATCTCTTTCATGGAAGTCCGACACTGTAACCAATAGTGCTAGGCCCACAGCCGGGTCTAGTTTTGACGGCCGCCTAAATGAACGGATACTGCGCGATGCGTAAATCTACCAAAATGTTTTCAAAATCACATTGTTGTTGATGCCATCCTCCGCACGTACGCACGAGTCACGAGCACGGGCACCAATCAAGAGACAATATCTTTTCAATCCCTAATTTAATCGCAGAAAATAAAAATTTGGCTGGCAACTATACCGCCCTCACAATCATCAACAAGGAAAAGATCACGCGCACCTTAAGTCTGTGCACCCACACATTCTCCAATCTAGTCAACCTTTGTCGTCAGCGTAAATAGCACACACAGCCGCGATCACTCGGTGTACTCATCTGCAAAACCCAGGGCGGATTCCCTTCTAAGGGCATTCGTGCCGACAACGTAGATAAGACAAATATCCTGGGAATGTGCCTGGACATCCTGGTCGGGGAAGAAGAGTCACAACCAGAGCCTGTACCAGCAAGGTCTGATGCTTTGGCAGCTCCTTAATAAACAAGAACATAGATAAGACACATCTCCTAGGAAACTGCCTGAACCACATGGTCGACGTGACAATTGTGACATTAGTAGACAGGCCATGATGGTTGGGAAAGTAAAACAAGAACTGTTGTTTTTGCTTTTAGCTCCGTATGACTTCAGCAAATGGCAAATATATGTTTTCTAGTAAAATGGCAATGTGTTCTTCTCAAAGATTTGGCTACGTCCCCTCCCAATCCCAAGGCTTGGAATTTGATGCTGGAAGTCTTCTTTTTCACATTCGCTTAATCGTGCTTTCCACATAGATCATGTAGTACTTTCAGGGGGCCTGCTTGTAACATGCCACAGAGCATAGAGTCAAAGAGTCACCTGTTGCGACTCCGCGCCCCTCACCCTAGAAGACAGTTCATTAGGCGTCATGAAGGTGCACCCCCACGCTCCCCCCCCTCCTAGTGTGATCTGTGGACTCGCACTAAAATCCACTGAATGCAGTGCCTGTTCTTTCAACAAGAAAGAGATTGTGTAAGTCAATTAAAGTCGTCCATTACTCTGAGGAGACAGCTATGCAGGTTTTGCAACAAAGGAAKCTAGGAAATSSACTGAATGCAGTGCCTGTTATTTCAACAAGGAAGAGAATGTGCAAGTCAATTAAAGTCATCCATTACTCTGAGGAGACAGCTATGCAGGTTTTGCAACAAAGGAATCTAGGAGATAGGACGGTGAAGGGGGAAGACAAAACTGGCAAGAAGACATGCTATGAAGACTGATCAGATTGTCTTCGAAAGAGTTCCAAGCAGGATGTCATCTGCGCTCGAAAGATTCGTTGGTGTACATTCTGACCTTTCAAAAGATTCGTTGGTGTACAGTCAGACTTAGGGCCAGGTCCCACTGGTGCTTTACGCATGCTGGGAAACATGAACCCAGTTCAGGGGGACTGCTGGCACTTATGGACAAGATTCACAGGTCATGTTCGTGCGACTTACAGCATTCATTTATATCCAAAGAACACATTGCTCTGCAAACAATATGGAATGTGGGGTTGGTTTTTTGTACAGAAAGAGTTGCATTCGAGGTGCGAGAACGAGAAGTATGTTCAGTCAATTTGAGTCCACATCGTTCTCAGCGGGTGTGGAAACAAGAAGTATGGTCGACATCTTTCTCACCTGTCGCTGCACCATTGCAACTTCTTGTAAAGCGCCTGAGTTTCCCCTTGCTTTTCTTGCTGCTCCCTCTGTTTCTCTCTGAGTGCCATTTCCAGCTCCTTCGCCTGCTTTGAAAGGTCTTCCTGAAGATAATAACAAAGCCCCCCAAACCCAAGCGCTCACTATATGCTGATTGGAAATCTGATATAAATCAAGCTACCCACACAATCTGATGTGAAGGCAACACCCCAAGGGTAGTCAGGACGACGTCCCTCCGGATCGCAACAGTGGTTGAAGGAGAAGTAATTATCAGGCACGGTTGGCCCTGCAGCATAGCCCGCACACTGAGATCCAGGGGGCAGGTGATAGCCTACAAGATGAAAAAACGAAGGTTCGGTAAGGAGTATGATGAAGACCAGGGCAGGAAGGAGTACGGCGAGGAGGAAAGCAATTCTTGCAACCTTCTTTGCTCATGTCTCTCACCTGCAGCCATTTCTTCACCGAAAATGGGAAAATAATCCGAAAATTCATATCCATGTATACAAGACCTGTGACAGTGAGCAGGTTGAGGAGAATGTGTGAGCAAGCCTTGCTACGGCCACACATTCAGTGGAAACGGGAAAACTCAGGTCCATCCCATAGCAAACCTGCAACAGTGAGCAGACTGGGGAGAATGTGCGAGCCCCTCTTGTTCAGCCACACATAGAAAGGGCCCCTGAGGACCAATGCCATCACATAAAGACTCGTGTGCTGAAGCTGTCCTACTCTCATCCACTCTATTAGAGTAGCCCAAGTACCACGGATACCCATGAATACCCGTAAGTACCATGAGAACACACCATAACTACCACAAAGTAGTGAGGTGTACCACAATTACCTAAGAGCACCATGAGTGCATAAGTGTAAGAGTAACCAAGAGTACCCAAAAGCACAATTGAGCACCCAAGAGTATCATGGCAACCTGTTGGTTGAGCCTTCAGGGCGTTGTATTGCAACACCTGAAAGAAAATGATAGGACAAAAGGAAAATGGGTTCAGGCTGAGAATGTCACAGCGATTCTCAGAGGGGTTCTCATGCGAAGAGTGAACTCTGAGCTGTCTGGAGGGTCCCCGACTTGGGCATCAAAGCATAATCTCCCCACAACTGACAGATTGATAACCCCAAGAGGCGCACCAAACACAGTCCCCCATGCAGGGTGCCTCTGAAGGAAGCAAAGCAAAATATGGGGCCTGTCCCACCACTTGCCCAACCCTAAAGGAAAGGTTGGCAAGCGTTCCACAATTCCACACACTCACTAATCCCCATTTCCACCAAACCCAAAGGGACAAATTTTCAAGAATTGTAAGTCTGGCCATCGTGAATGCTCATTGTCAGGGTTGCCAAGGGACCAGCTTGTGATGGGTGTTTGGCGATGTCTCTCACCTCTCCCAGCCCTTCTGTATAAAATGGTTTGGTGGCGAGCAGTCAGAGCACCACCAAGCACAAGACACTCCACGAAGGGATAAATAATTGAAATTCCAATTAATGGAAGTCTGGCTGTAGTGATCACTCGTTGTCAAGCTTGACGAGTGCCCAGATTGTGGTGTGTTGGGACCATCACCAGTGTTTCAGACTGTGTTCCAATTTGTGTACCATTCATGTTCCAATCTGTGTTCGAAACACTGGACAACTCGGAGAGAGACCACATCACCAGGCAACAAGCCTCGCAGATTGCTGATTCACACCACCCTCAGCAGCCTGACATAACAGAGCCGATTCGAGGTCATAAAATAAGAGCGGTCCTTCAGGACATTCGTTAAAAAAGAGGGGAGCTCGCACCACTTTTGCCATAACAAAATAGAGCAAGAGTTCCTGCCAGAGAATACAGTCCTCACAAGCAGTCTAAATAAAACCTTTTACACAACACTGAACCTGCCAGCCTCACACGGGGTCCTCCTTCCCAGTGAGTACTTGGGATGGTTAAGGGTACTCGTAAAATGTGCACATGTATCCAGATACAGCAAAGAGACGGGATACGGAAAAGAGAAACAACTCTCAAATGAACACATGTCTGTACACAGGAAAACTGTTCCAAAACATGCATAAATACACACACATACATATCTAGATAAAGAACTTTACATAGATGGATGAAAAACAAAATCGCACTGCCATGACAATGATACAGTAACCAAATAATAACCAAAAACAGTCGACAGAAGCCCACTATTTCACAGTACGTACAAGCTCTGCTGTACGGTTCATAATTGGGGGCATAGCCGCAAGCTCCTGCTCAGCATGTGCGACCTCAGCCTCCAACTTCGCCATCTTCTCCATCCGTGCCGTCTCATTTCGACGAATTTCATCAATCTCGCTCCTTTTGGCTTGGAGTGTTCCTGTCTACAGATTACGATTTGATAAAGGGCACACAGTGGACACAGAACAATAAAAGGAAAGACCACAAAATGCAAACGATTTTTGGGTTTTTATTTAGAAAATAATAAAATTGAAATAGGCACATATTAGAGCATAGGAAAATGAGACGAAAGGAACACAATGTACAATTAAAAGAACAGAAAGGAATACAGAGGACTAAAAGACAACTAGTTAACTGCACACTCCACCAGCAACCACCCTTCATAAAAAACACAGTCACACAGGCCTAATCTGTGAAACTGGCTTATGTATTACACAATTTGTCGCATTTTATACATAAATTGAACAAATGCAATACAGCACATCATTTCCTACCTGAAGAAAATTTTTCAAATTCACATATTAAGAATTTAACACCATGACAGCCAAAGGCACTTTTGAAACACATACAGGACTTTCTGGACAAAAAATAATATGGCCAATGCAGTGTTGACTCCGTAGCCTTCAATTCAAAGATATCAAGGCTAGTGAGCTAGGACAGAAATACGGCATCTATAGGAAACTAAGGACGCAGTACTTTGGTCCTTGGGAGGTCTTTAGATATCGTGGGTAATGAATTGGATGGTCCCTCATACGTTATTCATATCCCTGGTCACTTACGCACTTACCCTGTTTTTCACGCTTCAAAGCTTGCACCTTTCGCTGAGATACAGCAGTTTCCATCAAGAAGGTAAATGCTGGCCCCAACCATGGATGGCCACGTGGACGTCGACGATATCCTGGAACACAGAGATTTGCCTGTCCCCAAGCCTGCAGTCAGGGGGAGACTGCCAAAACCCATGAGGGAATACAGGGTCCGATTCAGGTACCATACAGATCCTAAGGACGATCGATGGTTCACAGGACAAGAGCTTGTTGAAACAGCACCTCAGATCGTGGCTGAGTATGAAAGAAGACTGAAGGGGATGGCACCTGCGTAGAAGCATCGCAGCGGACTTTCGAAGCTAAGGGGGATGGAATGTGAAGGAATGTGTTCTCAGGGGGACCCTAGACAACATGCATATGTTCTGGACTGTGGCCCCCAGCAAGCTTCGTCCCCGCCCTGAGTGAGGGCGGGCCTGGGTACCCACGAGAGGCCCTTATCTCAGCATTAGACCGTTGTTGCACGTCAGTTGGTTGAAGAGCAACCTGGGCCTCACCCTGGGCTCTATCCAGAAGCAGCAGCTCCGTCAAGCAGTTGAGCCCAGGACGCGGGTCGTTGCGCCCTGGGGGCAGCATATGGCCGACACAACACGAAGTGGCCGCGGGCCAATGAGAAAGCATCATTGTCGTGACACCTACCCGCGGGCCAATGCAAGCACAGCAAACACTGGAAGCCTGGAAAATGCTGGGTGTGCCCAACTGCAAGGGGCACAGGCCCCCAACTGTAGACATTTGCAAGGAATATGAGCGAGAACGATATACAGAAAGCCAAGTTGCGAAATCACACAGATGTCCAGGTAGTCGTGTACAAGCAGAGAGCAGAAATGCACAGAGATTCCATCCAATTACGAGCAATACAATGAACTCATGAGCCAATGTTCAAGCCCTCAGGCCACACCACCACAGTATCCAATGTCGCTCCTCTCTGTCTGACGCTCAGCGCCAAGCCTACACTACTTGCCTATCCTACTAATCCGCATTCGCGCAACAGGCTCACTTCCACTTTGAAGACCAATGCACATGACATCAACACCATATCCGACCTCCCTCATGCACCAGGTACGTATCTCGTCTCCCCTCATCAGACCCTGACCACCCACACTCGCCTCCTTCCTGAAGACCACCGATCACCTCTTACCCCCTAGCGCCCTGCAGCCCGGCTATGGCTGCCTGCGCCCCGCTGCCCAGCAGCGCCCCTCTCACCTCTCAAGCGCCCACACGCGCCCTGTCTGCTAACGCAGCACGCAGCCTATCGCACAGCAACGCAGCAGCATGACCTCTATGCCTGTGTGGGCCAGAATGCCCGACCGTGGCTGCCCCCTTCCCTATACGGACGTGGCAGCCTCCGTTTGGCTGTGTGCGGCCTGGCTGGAAAGCTTCCAGACTTGGGCCATTTTCCGGTCAGGCCTAATGCCTGCGCCCAGGCCCAGCTGTGCAGTTGAGGGCCTGGGCTCTTTACAGTTGGGCACGGCCAATATCTCCAGACTTGGGCCATTTTCCGCTTTTGCCCAGGACCTGGGGTGTGTACGTCGACAAAGCCTTTTTCGTAGGCCCATAGCCAATTCGGGATGTATCTGCCTTGCATTATGTGTGTGTACCAAGGCGCTACTACCAAGGCCTGGGCCCAACTGTACGGCGAAGCACAGGGAGGCTCACATTTCCTCTCGGGCTGGAAGGACCACAAACGACCTGGATCGCCAGGCGATCTTGAAGTCTTAAGATCGCGGGGCAATCCAGGCCATCGAGCCGGTCAATGGACGGCCCGGATGCCAAAATTCTTACATTAGCCATTTTAACAAGTGTAGGGATTGATACACAGACCAGATTGAATACAGAACCATTTTGTCTAACATAGCGGGGAACCATAATCGCTGAAATTTTCTCGAACCTGACTTATGCTGCCACATCATATTATCTCTATACTCTTAAAGGGAATCACGGATCTCATGTAACGCTCCCACGCAGACCCGCCTTCGAGTGTTGGGAAAGCTGCCGGGACAAGCGACAGGCCCAGCGAAATAAAGGGTTGCTGCCGTTTCCGACTCACCGGGCGCATGTTCGAATGTGCCAACGTGCAGAGCAGTTCTTTTCTTTTGGCCAGTAGATTCCTCGTTTTTTTTTATTTTTCTTCAGTATATTAGATTCTTCCTTCTTTGTCTTTCTCGGAGAAGGGGCGGACGAAAGGGCCTAGCTGCGCTACTCTCTACATGCACCAAGTAAAAAAAGATTGCAATGTATCTCTCCATGTTCTAGCGGTAGATTCAGTCTCATTTTGCACATTTGGAGAGTGGTGCAGCAAGGCCCAAACTATGGCGATGCATCTTTCACTGTTCCAGGGGGAAATTCTTTTGGTCTTTCGGTGTGGCTGCACTACTCTCCAGATGCACAAAACAAAAAAGATGGCAATGTATCTTTCCATGTTCTAGCGGTGCATCCAGTCTCATTTTGCACATTTGAATAGTACTGCAGCCAGGCCCTCTGCCCGTTTGGTGAGCAGTGGAGAGGGTCTCGCTCCACAACTCACCACGTGCACAAACGACAAAAGAATGGAATCGTCGTTTTTTTTTCTCAGCAGTTTTTTTTTTTTTTTTGGCCCCTGGCGAGTAGTGGAGCGACTCTCAGTGTCTCGCTCGACTACCCAGCAGGTGATGGTGTTGAGATATCATCATTGAGCTGATCGGCCCAGCAATTCAGTAGTAACGGGTCTTACATCAGTGAGCTGATCGGCCCAGCAATTCAGTAGTAACGGGTCTTACTCGTCAAGTTCCATCCCCTGGATTCGAACACGGATCTGGATGTCAACAGTTCATGGGTGTACCCACCAAGCTAGGTTCTTGGGAGGTGGACTGGCCTTTTTTGTGGCGATATGACGGTACAGCCAGCTGATCGCTGTATTAGTCACATGTTCGAATACATGCCCGATGTGGTCAGATACCTTCCATTGCCTTCCCCCGACCCCCCCTCCGAAGCTGCTGTGGGGACTGGCTGTGCAGTTCTTTGGTAGGACCCTGCGTCCGCTGGCCCCCTCATGCTCCCCGCCGCATGTGCGGCGGGCATCCCCTTGTTATTCTAAAAGTAAACTATTCATAGTCATTTACTATCTACAACTTTCATTAAATTTTAATATCATAAAGTCTCCTCATCCCCGTTTCTTTCTCTTTGTTATGATCCTGGCCAATTTCGAGATACAACATCCATCAGATAGTACGATGCCGCCCAATCGCAGAAAGAAACGAATGAACTTGAGAGAAGACAGAGGATTTGAAGAAGAAGAAGAAGTAAGAAAGAAGAAGAAGATCATGTACACCAGCATAAACAAATGACAAGGCTCTTCTTCTTCGCCCAACCATCTCCTCCTCCTTATCTCCCCCTTCTCTTATTCATACAAGAAACAATAATACAATTTTGAATGGCTGATCCAGAATCAATGTCCGAGTCCCTCTTCTACTGCAGGTATCACTTGAGGTCTACCATAGTCATGGCCGCCTCCCCCACTCTTCACTCTCATGGGCCGAGCCTATGGTGGACTACTAGGCCTTGCTCAGATGCCCAAAGGACAACCCAAAGCAGCTATGGCTGCTCTAGCTCAGGCCGCCATGCCCAACCCTGCCTTGAAGCTTCTTGGTGTGGCTCTCCCCAGTTGGGGACTCCCTGCTGCAGCGCCCACCAAGGTGATGAAGATGGCTGCCACCAAAGCCAGGTAAGTACCCCTGGCGCTCCTCCCCCTTCCTTCCTTCTTCCTCCCTCATGTCCTTCTCCTTCCACCCCAGCAGCGCTGCTCCAGCTTAGCACTCTCCACCAGTGTGTCGCCAAACTTGCACACCGAAAAAGAGGACGGACTCTCCGCCCCGCCCGAAGATATAGCGGCCTGCTTTGCCTCTTGAGCGGTGACTTCCTGGCCACTTGGCCTCCCAAGCAACCGGTACCTCCTCCTTTTTGGAGGGAAACATCATCGCAGACTCTGATATTGCCCATACAGGCCCCAGACTCAGACTGGTATCCGCCTAGACCTAGCCTACACTACTGGGCCTCTAAAAATGACACTTTTGTCTTCTTCTGCTTGGCCTCCGGTACCTGCACATCTACCCCTTCCAGGTGCGGTACCGGCCTACCCGCTACTCGAGTGCTTTTCTCCACTGCAACCCCTCAATGCCACGGCCGCAGGTAAGTACCGGCCCTGAGGGCCCAACGAACGCGCAAGTGCCCTGACGGGCCACACACATACTCATGCCAACCAGCACTCAGACAGGCACGGTCACACACACACCCAAGCCAACCAGCACTCAGACAGGCACGGTCATACACACACCCAAGCTAACCAA